TTGAGTACTTTGTTTTTATAATTGATCAAGCTCTATCTTCTTTGAGGGGTCGATTTGAACAATTCAAACAATATGATGACATATTTGGATTTTTGTTTAATTTGAAAAGGTTAAGGGATGCAACTTTATCAAGTTTGTTGAACTCTTGTATGAATCTTGAGAAATATCTTAAACATGATGGGCGTTCGGACATCAGTGGAGATGATTTATGTTCGGAGTTACAAGTCTTGAAGATTTATTTACCAAATGAAGCAACAAGAGCAATTGAAGTGCTCCACTATTTGAAGACATTGGATGTTTGTTTTCCAAATGCTTATATTGCTTACAAAATTTTGTTAACCATACCGATTACAGTAGCATCTGCGGAAAGAAGTTTCTCAAAATTGAAATTGATCAAGACCTATCTTCGATCAACTATGTCACAAGAAAGATTAAACGGGTTGGCCATGTTATCAATAGAAAAAGAAATGGTTTGGCAGCTAAATTATTCAGATTTGATTGATGTTTTTGCCTCTAAAATGGCAAAACGAATAGTATTCAACTAATTGTTTGAAACATTGTTGGTTTTGATGGTTTATAATATAAATCGTTTCTATTATATATTTAGTTGTTGTTTTAATGTTAGTTTTTTAAGTTAGCAATGAGTCGCATAATATACCATTGAATTTTGTATTTAAATTGCTTTCGCTGGGGGGCTTACTTTACACGCTTTGTCTCAGGGCCCATAAATCACAGGACCGGCTCTGCTTCTACCTATCAACCCAACTGACTTTCACCGACCTAATCCATAAAGAAGTTAACTTCGCGTGTTCATTCCAAAACCATACGACCAACCCAGCTAAAGCTGACGTCGCGGGTTCATTTCGAAACCACATTTCCACCAACCCATCGTCATTCAGTCAAAGGTGGTGAGAGACAAAGATAAGTTCATTTTTCTATAATGGTTTGCTTTTGTAGTTTATGATTATGTATGAAATGCAATGTGTTCATAGATTATTGTCAGTAAAGGGTTTTGAACTTGTGAGTTTATTGTAAATGTTGGTACAAATTTGAATTTTGTTATTCTTTGTAAGTGGATGAGAAATAGCATTGACTGAATATCTTGTATCAATTGGAAATTATTAGTTTATAGAATTTTGTTTTAACGTTGTAATTGTTTCATGTCGCAAGGAAAGAAAGTTGGAAAAAATTGGATAACATTATTTTGATGGAATCGATAATGAGAATGTCATAGACGATATTCACTTATTGGATAATGAAATCGTAGGCTGAGAAGGTGAGATTGTTCTTGAGGTGGGTATGAAATTCAAGAACAAAAATTAAATGTTAGATTTTTACAAAAGATGTGTGTAGAACGTAGATTTTTCAGTTAGAAAAAAAAAATTCGTTAAAGGATGATGACAAAGTTATGCGATATGTTACGTTGACATATAGTTGTGAAGGGAAAAAAAAGTAGTACTACAATTGGTTTATTGAAGCATATAAATTTCACATAAACATTAATCAAATAATAGGCATCCTATTAGAGTCTCCACATAAGTTAAATAACAATTTGATACATCAATAACTACAAATTAGGCCCACCCTATTCATTTCTTATCCCTTTCTGCAACCCTTTTTTATTCGACGTATTGTCACATTCACAGAAATCTCCGCATCTTTTTCGTGACTTAGTAGACATACGGTTTCAAACATACTAGATACATCTTCATCTAGGCTATGTTTGAGCCACATTTTTTCAAAAAAATATATTCTTGAACAGTGATTTGACATCATTTCAATAACATATTTTTCAATAAAATAATATTACATACGAATTCAAAAATTTTCTTCATTTTTTAACCACACATTTCTCGTCAATACACTATTCAAATTTCAAAATACACTCTTAGGAATATAATGTGGCTCAAACAAGGGCATGATTTGTTTGTCAAAGGCTTAGTAGATGTACTACCAACGAAATTTGATTCACTGCCTATTTCACCTGCTGTAACCCACTCTCAATATCCGCAGTTCGCACTACAACAATTGAACCATTTACCTTTGTTCTTAGTATCCTTCTTCACCTCAAAACACTTCACAAATGAGTGTTTACACGATGGGCATGGGCATTTATTTGGCAATCCGCAAAGAAGTGATCGTTACGTCTACAACCATGACATACTCCATTATTTTTTCCTCTCATTGTAAACTGCCACTCAACCACAAAGATAGAATATCAATACGATGCAATAACCAATTCAATTTATGCTTCACAAATTTGATATTACAAATGTTCGAGCAAGCGAGTGTGAAATTAACTACTTCATAGTCTCATTTCAATAAAAATAAAATAAAAAAAAATTTGAAGACCTCTATACCTACATTGCTTTCTTTACATCATGGAATGACAACCAATTTTTGAACACATGAAAGCTCATTACACAATCAGTACACAGAAGCCGAAATTGGGGTAAAGTTAGTATTGTAGGGACGCATGTTGAACATCTCTGTAATAGGTACCACTACAAACGTTCTGGAATAAATTCAAATTCACTACACAGCTAGAACACAAATGCTTAAAAATGGTTCAAAAGTAGGGTTCTAACTTACAATTCAAACCCATACACATAAGCTCTAGAACGACTATAAAGAAATGGTTCAAATCCGTACATGTTGCTTCAACCGAATTTCAAATAGGGATTTGAACTTCAAATTCATGAACACACAGATTTGGTCCTAATTGTGTACAAATAGCATATTGAATTCGTCCAAGCTATATGCAAATACAGAAACGCTTAACAACATTGAAAAACACATGTAAACCAAATATCATACTTACCAAAGGTTTGTTGTAGATTAAAGCAGAGAAGACAGCGTTCGTGGCATCGACGGAAGAAAATCGGACGAACGTCTAACGAATTGAAAGCCAACAAACTAGACCAAATGTATTCCATCGGGTCATTGAGTTCTCCAATGGAATAGGAGAAGATGGATGAAGTTAGGTGTAGAGAGACGATGGAGTCCATCGTGTGTAGGGTTTCGACAATTTAGGGGGGAAATGGATGTTATTTGAGGTGAGAGTGTTGCTATGAGTACAATGATTATTGAACAGAATCTATACAAAATTCAAAACACACACTCATACACGGGGTGGGTGGTGTGTGTTTTTCCAATATAAAACTCATATGGGCCCCACCCCATATGAGTATCTTTTTTCTTCTGTTGGAATAATTTTGTACGTGCAGAATTATCAGAATTATTGTTGAGGTGAAAAGGGTATTAGATATTGGTCAATTTCCATCCAATGGTTCCTCCTTTTATTTTTTTATTTTTTATCTTTTATTTTTCCTGTCAACCTATTCTGTACGAATAGTGGGATCGATTAAGAATCATTAATACCAAACAAAAAATTCTTGTTGATTATTCTCAGATGTTTTTGAATTTCGTGGCGTATAATCCTTGATTTGTGAGCTGTTTCCAGTTTCAATTGTCTGCAAAATTGGTTTTTGAGTAGTGTATGTATAAACTTGTGGCTGGCATGCTATCTTTGTAATTTGATAAAAGTCAATCCAGAACATGGATTGTCCATTAGATTACGACACTGTCGTCTCACAAGGGTTCATATGGACACCATCAATTAATCATTCAAAAACAAGTAAAACACATTCAATCTTTATGCAAATTTATAAATTACTTACAAAGATAAAAAAAAAAAAAAGGAAAAAGAGAATTGTAGCGAATCTAATATATGAATAATAAATGAGTAGTAATTAAAAATGTAAGATTGAAATTAATGTTTGATTTTAATTTTGTTTGTAAATCGTTTATAAATTAATGGTCAAACAGAAGCTATGTTGAATATAATTATGGGTTGTTATATTGTTACCACAATTTTTATTTCATATTCCACATTTTAATTGTTATGAAGCTCCTTAACCATTGTTCATTACAAGAATTATTTCTTTAACTTTTTTTTTTTTGGGTCGAATTCTTATTTTCAACTTAATTAGTATGTCTCGTCATCGATAATGATTTATATTAACATATTTTGTTTTCATGCTTTGAAACGAAGAGAAAATATTTTTTCTCACTTCTTATTTATTTATCGTCTACAAATATGCTTTAAAAATAAGTTGTTTTACTTATTTCAATAGACTTTTGGACAAAAAATTGTTATCAAATACAAATTGTGTTAACTAATGAAAACTTCAAGGATAAAAATGTTATGACAAATTGTTAGGGACATAAGTACTATAACGAACAAAGATTAAGAACCTCAAGTGTAATTAAAATGAGGTGCGGAAAATAAAAAAATATGGTGCTAATATAATTACACTACAATTACAATATATTTTAGATAAATATGTAATAAAATTTATTGGTTGTCTTTTTAAATTTTGTCTAGCCAAAATTATCAGATAAAAATTTTAAGTTCCTTGTAATCGTAGAGCTACTTTAAGAGTAGGAAAAAAAAAATAATAACTATAATAATTTAAGAATACAATTTCTAAATTAATAAACTTCTAAAAAAAAAATTCAAAAATTACATGGTATGTAATTGTAACATGTTTCGGTAAATAGTTGTAACTTATAAATTGAAACTTAAACAGGTCACGATCACACACCACATAATTTATAGATCACAATCATATATTAAATCACAATCACATATAAAGTTATTACTTGATTAATAAAATTAAAGCTTAAAATTGCTTAAAATTTTTTAAAAAATTTTAAAAAATAAAATGCACACATTTATTTGCATATTTATTTATATTTCAACACATAGTTTCTCTCTATATTGTGTGTGTGTGTGTGTGTGTGTGTGTGTGTGGACATTGCCATGATTTTACTGAAGCTGCCATTCTCAACGGTCGTTTTCATTCCCGTGAGCCTTGTTACAACTTGTAAATGAGTACTCGTGAGATTTCCCTTTTTCGAATATTTCAGGCCAACCAAATCTTTCCTCGCCACAAAATCCAATTTTCAAGAACTTTCCACCATCAATTTACAAACACTATACGTATATAAATTTTCCTGAAGAGACAATTAGAACATAATCTCATTGCTTTTTCACGTCTAACATGTCATTGAAGAAATCAACGACGTTCAGAATTGGTAATACGGCGAATGGGAATCACGATGATAGCTCGAGTGGAGAAGAGGAATATGAGGTGCACGATTTGAGAGATAGAATAAAGTCATCGAGGGGAAGCCGATTCAATTTGATTGAGAACGAGTTCGAGCTCGAGGTGAATCGCCGGAGATTTAGCAGACAGACCGTCATCAATGGCCTTAAAGATCTTTCACGAGGCTTAGTCATTCATCCCGATAACAGGTTGGTACATACATATACATATAAAATTTTGTATGATTATGTGTATCTATAGCTTCCTTCATTTCCAGTTCTTCCTTTGGAGAGGAGGGAATTATGGGAGAGAGAAGCGTGTTATTCAGTTGAGGGGAGAGATGGACGGAGGGGCAGCGATATTCCCGCCTGTGATCGTGGCGCTGACGTGGTAGGATTATCTTTTGGTTTTTGGTTTGAAATAAGATATAGCAGGTTTGAAGAATTATGAAGTTTCTAGAGCTAAAATCTTTATGGATTTGCCGAAAATAGAAGGAAATGGTTCCTCCGTCCACTTACATAGAAATGCGTCAGTTGCACTACGGGAAAAATTTAGAATAAAGGAACTTGCCGAGGGCTTAAAAATAGGGGAGTAAAAAGACAGATTGACGTATCAGAAAATGATTGAATGTTTTCGTTTTAATTTTTCAAACTGTTTAATCATGCATCGACACATATCCCATCTGAATTTGAGCCTGAATGTATAGCATGATTGAAAAATTTAGGAGAGTAAAGAGACAGATTAATGATTGAATGCTTTCTTTTTAATTTTTCAAACTATTTAATCATGTATCGACACGTATCTCATCTAAATTTGAGTCTGAATGTTTAGCATGATTGAAAAATTTATCCATTTGGACTTATTTTTTGTAAGGAACAATGTTATTTACCTTGTCTGTTTTGACAATATTAAATTATAGCAAAGTGTCGCTTTCATGGCAAAGAAACAAACTAAAATTATGACACAGTGTAATGCCCATTAGCTGCAACGTGGAATATATGTAAGATTGCATATCTAGGTTGATGGCCATGTTTATTGAACTAAACATTATTGAATAAGATTAAAAAAGTGTAGATATATGACAAAATTATTGTTTATATGATTTAATTGAAATTAGCAAACGTGCTAAAATCAGTGTGATAATTTAATTTCTTAACTAGAGCATCGCAGGACAGGGAAGCTAGTAATGGATTAAGATGAGTTCATAATGAAAAATTTCTATTGCATTGGACCTGTATGTTTAAATTAGAATGATGATGCAGATGGTATCGGGCATGGGAGAAATTCATACTGATATGGGCAATTTACTCATCTTTCTTCACGCCAATGGAGTTCGGGTTTTTCCGGGGACTGCCCAGGAAGCTTTTCTTCTTGGACATTGCTGGTCAAATCACCTTTCTTGTCGACATTATCCTGCAATTTTTTGTAGCCTATAGAGATAGTCATTCCTACAAAATGGTTTATAAGCGTACCCCAATTGCCATACGGTCAGTTCTACTTTCGTCATACTCACATCAGTGTAAAATCTGTACCATGCTTTCATTTTATTTTGCCCCTATTGGTAAGTTGAACTTTCTCTTCTGTTTAATTCGTTACAGGTACCTCAAATCCCATTTTATCATTGATCTTCTAGGTTGTATGCCTTGGGATGTTATTTACAAGGTTTGATTCTTCTCTGGTTCTTAATATGTATTAAGTTTAATAATGAGGTTGTTGGTTTATGATTGTTGCATTGGTTCTCTTTCATTAATGGTGGAAATGTTTTCAATTAAATGAATCTTTTCTGTCCAGTTTGTTAGGTTCAATGTTGCATTTACAAATGTCAATGACATCAATTTTTTTGCAACCACTCCATGTATTCGTTTCAGACTTAAAAAAGGATGTTTAAGATAAGATACAGCATAATTTGCAAATGTTTCACCTTCATATCACGATATCTACATATTAGACATTATCTTGTTCAGTTAGTGTTATACAATGCAATCTGTTACCTAGGCTGTTGGAAGAACAGAAGTGGTGAGGTACCTTCTATTGATTAGATTGAGCCGGGTTCGAAAAGTTACAGCTTTCTTCCATAGGATGGAGAAGGATATCAGGATCAATTATCTCTTTACAAGGATAGTAAAACTTATTGCTGTGGAACTCTATTGCACGCATACAGCAGCTTGCATCTTCTACTATCTAGCAACCACTCTGCCTGCGGAGAAGGAAGGATACACATGGATTGGGAGTTTGAAACTGGGGGACTATAGTTATTCACACTTTAGAGAGCTTGATCTATGGAAGCGATATACAACTTCCTTATATTTTGCCATTGTTACCATGGCAACAGTTGGTGAGTCCTAGTCTAATACAACTTCCCTATGCAAAGCTGATTTTTCACAAAAACTTTGCTACATTTTGCCTATGTCACGTGGGAGCTGTGGTTAAATTCTTTCATACAAATCAAAACATTATACCCTTCTTCTTTTTCTAAGTGTTATTTTAAGTTCAAGTAAATTAATCTTTGATTGCCATATTATGATATGCAATAATGCAAAATTTTAAGGCATCTGAGCCTTCATTCATGTGTTCATTAGTTGATATGATGCTGTGAATTTGGTAGGAGATAATTGCTACCCCAACCACCATGACTTGATCACCCTGATCACTGGAGTTGGTTTTACAGCTTACGGACCAAAATAGTAAATCTCTCAAGCCCCAAACTAAAACAATTAAGTTAAATTACAGCAATCAAGTTGAAAAATTAAATGACATGCAAAGAAGTGGCAGGTATTTTAAGAGTTGTAATACTGCTGGTTGCATGAAAGTCTATGCAATGCTGGAAATAAAATAGGTAATCTGGGTGCCTCATGGTTAATCAATGTTGCACAATAGTAACATGTTGGTGGAGGCAGATCATTTGGTTGGATATGATAGTAATAGCATTTCTTCTTTTACGCGGGGGGGGGGGGGGNGGGGGGGGGGGGGGGGGGGGGGGGGGGGGGGGTCGTAGTTTTTGGTTAACATGTCAGTTGTACTTTATATGACCGACGGACTTTATGCAAGCATTGTTTTTGCTAAAACCACTGTTGTGAACCACTAAAGATAAGTGGCCTCCGCCTTTTAACTGCATCCTAATTAAGCTGATTGATAAGAAAAAATTGAGTGATATTCTAGCTTAGTAAATGGTAGCAGTGGCATTTAAACTACAAGAAGTGATTCTGTAATAGTTAATGAAATTTAGTGTTTAGTTTATGAATGATGGAGCATTTCCTGCATAAATGAATAATGTCTAATTCTTGTCCTTTCTTCTTGCTAATATTATTACTTTATCGCTAACTGGCTCAAAATGCTCACACATTTATGTCAAAATCTTCCTCCTTTACCAGGTGTTCTATTATGCTAACCAAGTATCTCCTTTTGATATAGGCTATGGAGATATACATGCAGTCAATCTGAGAGAAATGATATTCATTATGATTTATGTCTCTTTCGACATGATTCTTGGTGCATACTTGATCGGTAACATGACAGCATTGATTGTCAAAGGATCAAAGACAGTAAGATATAGGGATAAAATGACAGATCTTATTAAATATATGAACAGAAATAAACTCGGAAGGGACATCCGTAATCAAATAAAAGGTCACTTGAGATTACAATATGAAAGCAGCTACACTGATGCTTCTGTTCTCCAAGATATCCCAATCTCAATTCGTGCCAAGGTAACTAAATAACTACATCACTTATAAGAGCTTTAGTAAGTAAGTTGGGGAAATTATCAACCTTTTGATTATCTTTTCCACATCCTAAAGGATCTTAAGATAAGGGGATTTGATAATCTCTAAGGATCATTTTTGCTTTTGAGTGACCTGAACATAAACTATTCACCTGGACTCTTCTTTAAATCCACATTATAAGATTGATATCAACCCTTCACTCCCTGTGGACAGTCTCAAATTTAACTTCATTTTATTCATAATATATCTCCAAACCTTTAGTTCATTCCTTTTCCTGATGAGTGCGGTAAAAATTATTGATGACCCAAGCTCATCAATAAGGCCCATTAGTTTGATGGCGTCCAGCAAACTATTATATGTATGATCATAAATTGGTCAATATAATTATGCCTAATGCTGTGTTATATAACACATTTCAGATTAGTTATATAGTTTATGGTACCAGATTTTAGTATAATACTAATATTCTGTAGATAGGGCTGTTGTAAATAGAAATAGTAAAACACTGGCTTTCATGTAGCCTAATAACAGCTCAGTTGAAGAAACACCTAAAGGCAAAATTTATATCTTCTGCACATAGTCCCATATGCTGAGAAGTTTTGACTAAGATCAAAATTATTTCATCTTTTGTTTTATTTTTCTAGTTCTTCAAAGGCAAAGGTTGAACAAAATGCTTCAGTTGTAAAGAAGGGAAATATACCTTGGCTTCCTTTCATTTTTATGAGTAGTTACTATCTATCTTCTTTCCCTTGATGGACTCTTTGGTCTAACATAATTTTTGTCTGAAAAATTAACTCTTCCATTGACTAAATCATTTATTTCTTACAGATATCTGAGTCTTTATATAAGTCTTATGTTGAAAATGTTCCTCTATTCAAGGGATGCTCCTCAGAGTTCATCAATCAAATTGTAAGTTATTTTCTTATTCCACCATGTCATTTTATACTTTTCTTATGGTTGAATGAATTTTTTCCCTCTAATTTTCCATCACTCAAATATTAAAAATATCTAATAAATGAATAGGCCCCTGTTTAGTGGGAATTAAAATTATTTTTTAGTAAATTTTGATAGAAGTTTTTGAATGTGTGGTTGAAAAGTTGTGGAATTCATGAAATATGTGGTTAATATTGATTGTTTGACTTTGACTTAAATTAAAAATTGATTTAAATCAATACCAAATAGGGGGCTAAGTTTGTGATATAGAAGGACATATTAGGGTTCTACAAAGTTAATTGGCATGATTTTTCATATTAAGATCTAACTTTTAGGAGGTGTTTGATAGTTATTTTTATGTAAAAATGCATTTTAGAATAGTAAATTGATGTGAAATATGTGGTTGAAAAATAAGAATTTTTTTTTTATTTACGCGTAACATTATTTTAATAAAGAATGTGGTTGAAAAGAAGAGAGAGTAAAATGCATTTTGAAAAAAATTGCTAACAAACGGGGCCTTATTCATCACCAATTTTAACTGAAATAATTTTTTAACTTCATGCTAACTTAACCTGATTCCCAAGGCTGATTCTTTTTTCCTACTTTTGTCTATATTGCAGGTAACTAAGGTCCACGAGGAATTTTTTTACCCAGGAGAAGTTATAATGGAACAGGGAAATGTTGTGGATCAACTCTATTTTGTTTGTGATGGTGTTCTGGTACATAACTCTGCCTTGTAAATATATATATATGTATTAATTTTTATGCATGTCTGTCTTGCAGATTATTGTGTTCCATTTTTGTTCTCTCTGTTATATCATGCATCTTCTACTATCCATTTTGCACACCAGGACTCTTTTCAACTCTATGAGATATCATCTGTTTTCATTAAAATGGAAAAAATTATCTCATCGTTCAAAACCATCAAAAATATATTAGCAGTACTTTATTGAATTTTGATACCAGCTCCCATAATTTCAAAACCATACCAAAGCCTTTAATCATGATGTTGAGAGCAAGATTTATTAATTTCTACGATGAATAGAATAAATTATCAGATTCGTTTCTGCTAACTCTGCTCAGGAGGAGGTTGGCACTGGGTCAGATGGATCAGAGGAAACAGTCTCACTTCTGGAGACTAATAGCCTATTTGGAGAAATTTCCATTCTTTGCAACATTCCTCAGCCATATACAGTTCGGGTTTGTGAATTGTGTAGGCTCTTGCGGATTGATAGACAGTCTCTCTCCAATATTCTTGACATATATTTTCATGATGGGCGAAAAATATTGACAAACTTATTGGAGGTAATTTGATTTGAGTCTGTCGATAAGTGCCCTCTCCTCCCAGTCACTCAGATATTTTTCATCTTCATGTCTGTGATATTAAGATTTGTTATTGTAAGCTTAAACTGAAATTACTTGTTTGAATAGTGCTCTTTCATTTCTCCTATAAAGTTTTGAATAAAAAATCTTTCTGCAAAATCTAAAATTGAATTTTGTGATAGGGTAAAGAATCTAGTCTTCGGGTGAAGCAACTGGAGTCAGATATCACCTTACATGTCGAAAAACAGGAGGCTGAGCTTGCTTTGAGGGTGAACAGTGCGGCTTATCATGGTGATTTGTATCAATTGAAAGGTCTGGTTCGGGCAGGAGCTGATCCCAACAAGAAAGATTATGATGGGAGATCACCCTTGGTATGATTTAAGATAATCAAATTTGTATTCTGCAGTCTAACTTTTCAAGCCAACTATATAAAACTATGTGTTTTCAATTTATTATTATTTTTTTTGGTCGCTTAAATTCACCAATTTCTTCTCTGCATAAACATTTTGATGATCCAGAAGTTTATACCACCTTTAAGAAAAATGATCAAATTGATTAAAAATTGTTGTTTATAGGTAACTGGCCACGTACTAGTTTTCTTACAAATCTTAATTATTATTGTTTCAGTAGCTATTCTGGGTACCCTTTTAAGTTTAACTAAACAGCACACTCAAGCATTGAGAAATGGGGATTTTCTGTTTCCCTGAACTACTAGATTTGTGGAACTTTGGCATTGTATCCAGCATTCAAATTTTGTTAATATACCGTTTCTTTCTGCATCCAAAGGGGATACATAGATGCATCATCTCTTACCATTCATATTTTATCATTTTTCAAATTTTTTCCTCCCCAAAAATTTATCATTTAGCGAATTTGTTACATAAAGTGGTTGAATGAAGAGATTATTAAGTTAGAAAAATTAACATCTAAGGTCCTTTTTATATATTTTCATTTCTTGCAGTCATAAAGATCTATGCACTTCAATGATTGAATCTTTTTGCAGTCATGAAGATCCATGCAAAATAATTTCCAATGTCCCACTACATCTTTTTCCTGTTTTTGGACCTTTGATCTAGGATGCACCGACTAGTCTGCATCTGACTCGCTGACACATGTGGCATGTCCAAATAATTTTTACGTTTTGTACAGTTGGACACATCGTTGACACGTTGGAAAATATATCATGTTGGACATTGACATACGTGTGGAACATTTGGTGGCATGTCCAAATTATTTTTATTTTGTACAGTTGGTCATGTAGACACGTTGGGATATACATTGTCAACACGTCAGAAGTACATTATTGACATGTTGAAATTAACAAGAATAAATTTACTTTGTAATATACAAGATTAAAAAAATATATATATATTAGTATTATTATTTTAATCAGCATGTCGGGATGTGTCGTGTCGTGTCATTTTTATTTTTTTTTTTAAATTTCGTGTCATCATATTCATGTTGTGTCTTGTGCGTGTCAATGCTTTAGTCTTTGATGCTTCATGACTCTGTTATTTCATGACACAAGTACACAACATGACTTTATTTTAAAAACTTGGATCTTCAAAAAGATTATATAATGAAAGCAACAGATTAGAGGTCCCTAAACAGTGCCTTGTTTTTCAACAGCATCTTGCTGCATCACGAGGTTACGAAGATATTGCTCTTTTTCTGATACAAGAAGGTGTAGATGTGAATGCTGCAGGTAAATTTTTGAGTTGGTTAATTGGTGTTCGCATTTGAGATTTTGAATTTCCATTAAGTAACATATAGGACTTAATGCAGTTGTTTCTCTGAACAGATAATTTTGGAAATACACCCTTATTTGAAGCAATCAAGGGTAGACACGACAGAGTTGCTGCATTGCTTTCTAGAGAGGGGGCCTTGTTGAAGATTGAGAATTCTGGTAGTTTCTTATGCACATTGGTCGCAAGAGGAGATACTGATTTTCTCAGAAGACTTTTATCCCATGGAATTGATCCAAACTTCAAAGACTATGATCACCGAACCCCACTTCATATAGCTGCCACTCATGGATTATATTTGATGGCAAAATTGCTTTTGGAAGCGGGGGCAAGTGTTTTCTCAAGGGACAGGTAAAATGTATTTCTTTCTAGTCTAAGGTTATTTAGATTTTTCATTTTTTACTTCCATTCCAAGTGCACACTTGTTTGCTTTAATTCCCAGTTTCTTTTGAAGCCTGAGCAGAAGCAGCAGTGAGTTTTGATTTTACATTTGATGCATTCAGTTTCATTTATAAGTTCTGCAGAAAAAGAAAATCACTAACTTTTCTTTTAAGTCAGACAGTTTTTATGTCGTTCAACAATGTGTGAACTTTAATTCTACTTTAAGCCATTTTACATTAATATGAAATTACACGGCTCTTGTGAGTATACTATACTTCTACCATACAGATTCAGCATCCAACACTTGCACAAGATACAAATTTGTAACTCCTGGTGTACATTTTCATGGCATTTGAGTTTTTTATGGGGCTTGCGTGTTGCAATCTTTAGTTTTTTCCTTAACATTTCTAACTTAAAAACATAGATCTTACTTAGTGTGCATTGGTTATAAGAAATCAGATTCTCTCGAGATTTCCTCAAAACCACCCAATAACGACCCAGGTGTTTTGATATCGTAATTCTTGAATTATGTTTGTTTCCCTAGGGAAAGAGAATTTCAACACTTACTGTAGTCAGATCAACCTCTGGTAGGAACACTAGTTCTGATGGAATTAGAAAATCAAGTACAAAAGAGAGTTTGCCAAGACCTACTCATTTTTTATTTAATTCTGTAAATCTTTGATATTTTTGTGGATGGGAAAGTTCTATTTGTTACCATGATGTTCTAAGCCTTTCTCAACCTAAGTTTAACATTACTTCGTACTGTTATTCTACTCGATTATTCTGTCCAGAAAGTACAGCAACTACTAATTCTGGTCCAGTAATCAGGCTTCAAATGAAGCTCAATTCTGACTTTAGGAAGTGTCTGGTTTTTCGTATTCACAGGATGCTGGAGTTGTAAAGCTGAGTTTGAGTTTAGCTCATATTCTTTAATAAGTTTCAAATTCGTCCATCTTTGATTAGTTTATTGAGATTAGTTGGAAAATAATTATTCTCATCTGCTCTTAATTTGTCGAGTACAGCTACATTTTTGTGTAACTTATAAATTTTCAGATGGGGAAACACCCCAGTAGACGAAGGGAAAATGTGTGGAAACAAGAATATGATTAGACTTCTGGAAGAAGCTAAAGCTGCCCAATTATCCAAGTTCCCTGATTGCTCTCAAGATGTCACAGGTACCAGATTCTCAGTTTTTTAGTGTGCATAATCCAGATATTAACTTTCGTTACTACTGCTGAAGAATATAGCATATTAAAATGGAAGTCACCAATATTAAAGTTGCATTGCATCAAGGTAGTGCAAACACATCTACACACAAACAGAATAGGAAAAATGGTATTATAATGATCATAGACCTTAATAACCTTTGTAGCACGAACACTTCAACTAAGATAGCATGTCAGTATCCGACACGTGTCGGATACCGACACTCCTCCATTATTCTTCCATGATCATTTTTTTTATTAACAATATTATATATTTTTAATTCAAAGTTATTATTAAATAACAAATATGTACTTATATTTAAAAGATCTTGATAAGAAAAATTGATAACAATTATAAAACTAAATTTATACTATACCTTTGTTTGAGCCCCATTTTTTCATTAAAATACATTTTTTAACAGTGATTTGATACCATTTCAACCACACATTTTGTAATAAAATAATATTACACGCAAAATCAAAATATTTTCTTATTTTTTGACCACACATTTTCCATTATAACACTATTTCAAAATGCATTTTTTTAGAAAAATAGGCCTCAAACTACTCCTATATAAATGCAGAATTTTAAATAATTTAATCAACTTGTCGAAAATGTGTCGTGTCAGTGCTTTTTTGAAAAATCAAGTGTCGACATGATAGATGCATGTTGTTTCAGACACACGCGTCCATATAGTTGCCTCATAGTTAATAACTAAAACCTCCTTATTCGATATAGTGAAAGTACTTAAGCTTTCCTTCTAGTAAAGCTGGATCAAAATCAAAGAACACTGACTATTATGGGCCCTTTTGCTTCATCAAACCTCAATTTTACCTTATTGTCTGTGTTTTTGCACTTAACATAGTTTTTATTTGCACTTCATGCTTTGAGATATGTTGCACGCACTTTATTAATTGATGCATCGTCTTTTAATTTCCATTTGATCTTCAAAGATAAAGATAGCTGACACGGCAAACTCTTTGATGTTTAACCTCTTTATTTTTTTCAGTAAAATGGTTCCTTGTGTGCTGGAGAGTTTTTAAAAAGGATGCAAGACTAATTATATATAGTGGAACAACAGACAAATATAAGAGGACATAGATTCTAGTGGATGAGTGATGCAAAAATTTCTAAATTTAATTTACGTATATCTGTGCAAGTTTCAATTGTCAAGCATTGTCTACCTAGTTCTTGAATATATAGGTAAAAGAGTCCATGTAAGTTAGATGTTGAGTAACTATAAAATTACTTCTTTTTGAACCACATAATCTAGAAGTTTAAGGAGCCCTCATGTGCAGTCTAAAATCATCTTTTATCAAGAGCTTGAAATTGTGCTATTTTCATAAATGGGTGTCGGCAATGACATGGCTTGAATTTAGAATCTCTGTCTAATTTAAGACGATTTTGATCCTCCTCGTCTAAATTTAAGCTATTAAAGAAAGAATTTTTGCTGCAATTTCTAACGTGCCTTTCTACACTTGCATTGGTTTTCATATTACTCTCACATTAGTCACCTCGACTAATCATTTTCTCTGAGAGCTTTTCAATTTGATGTCAGATAAAATGCACCCAAAGAAGTGCACTGTGTTTCCTTTCCACCCATGGGCTTCCAAGGAAGGTACAAAATGTGGTCTTGTAATGTGGATTCCTCACAGCATTGAGGAGCTAATCAAAACAGCATCAGAGCAACTGAAATTTCCACATGGCTCATGTATATTATCAGAAGATGGAGGAAAAATTCTTGAGGTCGATATGATAAGTGATGGCCAAAAGTTATATTTGGTTAATGAAACAAATTAAATGTCACTCCCTTGTATATCATTTAAAACACACGTTGCTTTCTTGAGTTTGGGAATATCGCATTTCGTGTTTCTTGGGGGGGAGAATCACTCGTTGTGGGACTTCGTTTATGAGGTCCACTCTTCCCAAGACTCTAATCCTTTGGTGGGAAAGTTTAGGTGAGAAGTCATTTCCCTCGAACATGATTGTTAATGAATGTCTGTAAAGGTTGAATCTGTAACATTGAAAGAAGGGTGCTCTATGCTCTAGTATCGTTTTGATTAGTATGGTTTCCCTATATTGTACTAATATGTACATATATCTATAATATATTAAATATCAAATCAAGTGAGAATCATTTTTTGAACGATTATAGCTTTAAACAATTCATTTATTTCAATAATACCTTACTTTTCATTTTTCAATATATGTTTAATTTACACTCTAGTAAATAATACAAAATCCTTATTCATGTATATATTTCCTATTATTAATTTTCAATTAATTAACATTCACCTTTATTTAATTAATATTAATCAGAATTTCATATTTACATTCACACTCACATCCATGTCACCGTTATTAATTCTCAATTAATTAATATTTACATTTATTTAATTAAAATTTCATATTCAAAAATGCATTTCATTATTCACATCTATGTATGATAATTAGCGTCCAGATTCATTTAGTTGGAAATTAAATATATTCATTTAGTATGGATAATTTAACATTCAATTTCGTTTATATATTATTTGGTACCAATTCTTAATAAATTAACATTCATGTTAATTGATGTACGTATTTGTCATTCATGTATTTAGATGTAATTCTAATACTTACATTCAAATATTACTTTCACAACACTTATAAAAGATTTCAAAATAACGTGCAACACATGTTTAACTCTATCTATCTGGAACAAATATTACCACATGGCTATAAGAAAGTGGTTTTGAATGCGAGAAACATGCTGACATAAAAAAATGTTTGGCGACTTCACTTTACTGTTGAGTGTCACAACCATGATGGATATAAATCTTTTGCTCCACTCTCAAGTTTTAATCCATTTCCAATTATCCTCGTATAATACTAAGAGTGCATTTGATTGCCCACCTGAAAGTGTGTTTTTTTCACCAAAATTTTTACTTTTGTGCTGTTTGATTACCATTTTTTTCCATGGAAAATATTTTCCCTTTTTGGTTACGTGACCATATTTAAAATCAAGGAAAAAATTTTCTTTAGGAAGAGTAGAATTTTATTTTCCACGGAATTCACTCTCTCTTTCTCTCTCTTATTTATACACTCACTCTCATTAATCCACCAATTAAAAATGGACAAGTATAATATTTTCTAAGTTAAAAATTAAATCAATTAAACACATTTAATTGACAATCTTCATACAAATAAATTCTAGGCAATGAAATTACCTAGAATTTATTTTCTTTTTATGCAAATTCCATATTTGCAATCAAATGCACCCTAAAGTGATTTTTTTTTTATCCCCCCAAAACTGCTACCTGGCGGAAAGTAATGTGGGGGGGGGGTTGGGCGGGGGGGGGGGGGGGGGGGGGGGGGGGTCGTAGTTTTTGGTTAACATGTCAGTTGTACTTTATATGACCGACGGACTTTATGCAAGCATTGTTTTTGCTAAAACCACTGTTGTGAACCACTAAAGATAAGTGGCCTCCGCCTTTTAACTGCATCCTAATTAAGCTGATTGATAAGAAAAAATTGAGTGATATTCTAGCTTAGTAAATGGTAGCAGTGGCATTTAAACTACAAGAAGTGATTCTGTAATAGTTAATGAAATTTAGTGTTTAGTTTATGAATGATGGAGCATTTCCTGCATAAATGAATAATGTCTAATTCTTGTCCTTTCTTCTTGCTAATATTATTACTTTATCGCTAACTGGCTCAAAATGCTCACACATTTATGTCAAAATCTTCCTCCTTTACCAGGTGTTCTATTATGCTAACCAAGTATCTCCTTTTGATATAGGCTATGGAGATATACATGCAGTCAATCTGAGAGAAATGATATTCATTATGATTTATGTCTCTTTCGACATGATTCTTGGTGCATACTTGATCGGTAACATGACAGCATTGATTGTCAAAGGATCAAAGACAGTAAGATATAGGGATAAAATGACAGATCTTATTAAATATATGAACAGAAATAAACTCGGAAGGGACATCCGTAATCAAATAAAAGGTCACTTGAGATTACAATATGAAAGCAGCTACACTGATGCTTCTGTTCTCCAAGATATCCCAATCTCAATTCGTGCCAAGGTAACTAAATAACTACATCACTTATAAGAGCTTTAGTAAGTAAGTTGGGGAAATTATCAACCTTTTGATTATCTTTTCCACATCCTAAAGGATCTTAAGATAAGGGGATTTGATAATCTCTAAGGATCATTTTTGCTTTTGAGTGACCTGAACATAAACTATTCACCTGGACTCTTCTTTAAATCCACATTATAAGATTGATATCAACCCTTCACTCCCTGTGGACAGTCTCAAATTTAACTTCATTTTATTCATAATATATCTCCAAACCTTTAGTTCATTCCTTTTCCTGATGAGTGCGGTAAAAATTATTGATGACCCAAGCTCATCAATAAGGCCCATTAGTTTGATGGCGTCCAGCAAACTATTATATGTATGATCATAAATTGGTCAATATAATTATGCCTAATGCTGTGTTATATAACACATTTCAGATTAGTTATATAGTTTATGGTACCAGATTTTAGTATAATACTAATATTCTGTAGATAGGGCTGTTGTAAATAGAAATAGTAAAACACTGGCTTTCATGTAGCCTAATAACAGCTCAGTTGAAGAAACACCTAAAGGCAAAATTTATATCTTCTGCACATAGTCCCATATGCTGAGAAGTTTTGACTAAGATCAAAATTATTTCATCTTTTGTTTTATTTTTCTAGTTCTTCAAAGGCAAAGGTTGAACAAAATGCTTCAGTTGTAAAGAAGGGAAATATACCTTGGCTTCCTTTCATTTTTATGAGTAGTTACTATCTATCTTCTTTCCCTTGATGGACTCTTTGGTCTAACATAATTTTTGTCTGAAAAATTAACTCTTCCATTGACTAAATCATTTATTTCTTACAGATATCTGAGTCTTTATATAAGTCTTATGTTGAAAATGTTCCTCTATTCAAGGGATGCTCCTCAGAGTTCATCAATCAAATTGTAAGTTATTTTCTTATTCCACCATGTCATTTTATATTTTTCTTATGGTTGAATGATTTTTTTCCCTCTAATTTTCCATCACTCAAATATTAAAAATATCTAATAAATGAATAGGCCCCTGTTTAGTGGGAATTAAAATTATTTTTTAGTAAATTTTGATAGAAGTTTTTGAATGTGTGGTTGAAAAGTTGTGGGATTCATGAAATATGTGGTTAATATTGATTGTTTGACTTTGACTTAAATTAAAAATTGATTTAAATCAATACCAAATAGGGGGCTAAGTTTGTGATATAGAAGGACATATTAGGGTTCTACAAAGTTAATTGGCATGATTTTTCATATTAAGATCTAACTTTTAGGAGGTGTTTGATAGTTATTTTTATGTAAAAATGCATTTTAGAATAGTAAATTGATGTGAAATATGTGGTTGAAAAATAAGAATTTTTTTTTTATTTACGCGTAACATTATTTTAATAAAGAATGTGGTTGAAAAGAAGAGAGAGTAAAATGCATTTTGAAAAAAATTGCTAACAAACGGGGCCTTATTCATCACCAATTTTAACTGAAATAATTTTTTAACTTCATGCTAACTTAACCTGATTCCCAAGGCTGATTCTTTTTTCCTACTTTTGTCTATATTGCAGGTAACTAAGGTCCACGAGGAATTTTTTTACCCAGGAGAAGTTATAATGGAACAGGGAAATGTTGTGGATCAACTCTATTTTGTTTGTGATGGTGTTCTGGTACATAACTCTGCCTTGTAAATATATATATATGTATTAATTTTTATGCATGTCTGTCTTGCAGATTATTGTGTTCCATTTTTGTTCTCTCTGTTATATCATGCATCTTCTACTATCCGTTTTGCACACCAGGACTCTTTTCAACTCTATGAGATATCATCTGTTTTCATTAAAATGGAAAAAATTATCTCATCGTTCAAAACCATCAAAAATATATTAGCAGTACTTTATTGAATTTTGATACCAGCTCCCATAATTTCAAAACCATACCAAAGCCTTTAATCATGATGTTGAGAGCAAGATTTATTAATTTCTACGATGAATAGAATAAATTATCAGATTCGTTTCTGCTAACTCTGCTCAGGAGGAGGTTGGCACTGGGTCAGATGGATCAGAGGAAACAGTCTCACTTCTGGAGACTAATAGCCTATTTGGAGAAATTTCCATTCTTTGCAACATTCCTCAGCCATATACAGTTCGGGTTTGTGAATTGTGTAGGCTCTTGCGGATTGATAGACAGTCTCTCTCCAATATTCTTGACATATATTTTCATGATGGGCGAAAAATATTGACAAACTTATTGGAGGTAATTTGATTTGAGTCTGTCGATAAGTGCCCTCTCCTCCCAGTCACTCAGATATTTTTCATCTTCATGTCTGTGATATTAAGATTTGTTATTGTAAGCTTAAACTGAAATTACTTGTTTGAATAGTGCTCTTTCATTTCTCCTATAAAGTTTTGAATAAAAAATCTTTCTGCAAAATCTAAAATTGAATTTTGTGATAGGGTAAAGAATCTAGTCTTCGGGTGAAGCAACTGGAGTCAGATATCACCTTACATGTCGAAAAACAGGAGGCTGAGCTTGCTTTGAGGGTGAACAGTGCGGCTTATCATGGTGATTTGTATCAATTGAAAGGTCTGGTTCGGGCAGGAGCTGATCCCAACAAGAAAGATTATGATGGGAGATCACCCTTGGTATGATTTAAGATAATCAAATTTGTATTCTGCAGTCTAACTTTTCAAGCCAACTATATAAAACTATGTGTTTTCAATTTATTATTATTTTTTTTGGTCGCTTAAATTCACCAATTTCTTCTCTGCATAAACATTTTGATGATCCAGAAGTTTATACCACCTTTAAGAAAAATGATCAAATTGATTAAAAATTGTTGTTTATAGGTAACTGGCCACGTACTAGTTTTCTTACAAATCTTAATTATTATTGTTTCAGTAGCTATTCTGGGTACCCTTTTAAGTTTAACTAAACAGCACACTCAAGCATTGAGAAATGGGGATTTTCTGTTTCCCTGAACTACTAGATTTGTGGAACTTTGGCATTGTATCCAGCATTCAAATTTTGTTAATATACCGTTTCTTTCTGCATCCAAAGGGGATACATAGATGCATCATCTCTTACCATTCATATTTTATCATTTTTCAAATTTTTTCCTCCCCAAAAATTTATCATTTAGCGAATTTGTTACATAAAGTGGTTGAATGAAGAGATTATTAAGTTAGAAAAATTAACATCTAAGGTCCTTTTTATATATTTTCATTTCTTGCAGTCATAAAGATCTATGCACTTCAATGATTGAATCTTTTTGCAGTCATGAAGATCCATGCAAAATAATTTCCAATGTCCCACTACATCTTTTTCCTGTTTTTGGACCTTTGATCTAGGATGCACCGACTAGTCTGCATCTGACTCGCTGACACATGTGGCATGTCCAAATAATTTTTACGTTTTGTACAGTTGGACACATCGTTGACACGTTGGAAAATATATCATGTTGGACATTGACATACGTGTGGAACATTTGGTGGCATGTCCAAATTATTTTTATTTTGTACAGTTGGTCATGTAGACACGTTGGGATATACATTGTCAACACGTCAGAAGTACATTATTGACATGTTGAAATTAACAAGAATAAATTTACTTTGTAATATACAAGATTAAAAAAATATATATATATTAGTATTATTATTTTAATCAGCATGTCGGGATGTGTCGTGTCGTGTCATTTTTATTTTTTTTTTTAAATTTCGTGTCATCATATTCATGTTGTGTCTTGTGCGTGTCAATGCTTTAGTCTTTGATGCTTCATGACTCTGTTATTTCATGACACAAGTACACAACATGACTTTATTTTAAAAACTTGGATCTTCAAAAAGATTATATAATGAAAGCAACAGATTAGAGGTCCCTAAACAGTGCCTTGTTTTTCAACAGCATCTTGCTGCATCACGAGGTTACGAAGATATTGCTCTTTTTCTGATACAAGAAGGTGTAGATGTGAATGCTGCAGGTAAATTTTTGAGTTGGTTAATTGGTGTTCGCATTTGAGATTTTGAATTTCCATTAAGTAACATATAGGACTTAATGCAGTTGTTTCTCTGAACAGATAATTTTGGAAATACACCCTTATTTGAAGCAATCAAGGGTAGACACGACAGAGTTGCTGCATTGCTTTCTAGAGAGGGGGCCTTGTTGAAGATTGAGAATTCTGGTAGTTTCTTATGCACATTGGTCGCAAGAGGAGATACTGATTTTCTCAGAAGACTTTTATCCCATGGAATTGATCCAAACTTCAAAGACTATGATCACCGAACCCCACTTCATATAGCTGCCACTCATGGATTATATTTGATGGCAAAATTGCTTTTGGAAGCGGGGGCAAGTGTTTTCTCAAGGGACAGGTAAAATGTATTTCTTTCTAGTCTAAGGTTATTTAGATTTTTCATTTTTTACTTCCATTCCAAGTGCACACTTGTTTGCTTTAATTCCCAGTTTCTTTTGAAGCCTGAGCAGAAGCAGCAGTGAGTTTTGATTTTACATTTGATGCATTCAGTTTCATTTATAAGTTCTGCAGAAAAAGAAAATCACTAACTTTTCTTTTAAGTCAGACAGTTTTTATGTCGTTCAACAATGTGTGAACTTTAATTCTACTTTAAGCCATTTTACATTAATATGAAATTACACGGCTCTTGTGAGTATACTATACTTCTACCATACAGATTCAGCATCCAACACTTGCACAAGATACAAATTTGTAACTCCTGGTGTACATTTTCATGGCATTTGAGTTTTTTATGGGGCTTGCGTGTTGCAATCTTTAGTTTTTTCCTTAACATTTCTAACTTAAAAACATAGATCTTACTTAGTGTGCATTGGTTATAAGAAATCAGATTCTCTCGAGATTTCCTCAAAACCACCCAATAACGACCCAGGTGTTTTGATATCGTAATTCTTGAATTATGTTTGTTTCCCTAGGGAAAGAGAATTTCAACACTTACTGTAGTCAGATCAACCTCTGGTAGGAACACTAGTTCTGATGGAATTAGAAAATCAAGTACAAAAGAGAGTTTGCCAAGACCTACTCATTTTTTATTTAATTCTGTAAATCTTTGATATTTTTGTGGATGGGAAAGTTCTATTTGTTACCATGATGTTCTAAGCCTTTCTCAACCTAAGTTTAACATTACTTCGTACTGTTATTCTACTCGATTATTCTGTCCAGAAAGTACAGCAACTACTAATTCTGGTCCAGTAATCAGGCTTCAAATGAAGCTCAATTCTGACTTTAGGAAGTGTCTGGTTTTTCGTATTCACAGGATGCTGGAGTTGTAAAGCTGAGTTTGAGTTTAGCTCATATTCTTTAATAAGTTTCAAATTCGTCCATCTTTGATTAGTTTATTGAGATTAGTTGGAAAATAATTATTCTCATCTGCTCTTAATTTGTCGAGTACAGCTACATTTTTGTGTAACTTATAAATTTTCAGATGGGGAAACACCCCAGTAGACGAAGGGAAAATGTGTGGAAACAAGAATATGATTAGACTTCTGGAAGAAGCTAAAGCTGCCCAATTATCCAAGTTCCCTGATTGCTCTCAAGATGTCACAGGTACCAGATTCTCAGTTTTTTAGTGTGCATAATCCAGATATTAACTTTCGTTACTACTGCTGAAGAATATAGCATATTAAAATGGAAGTCACCAATATTAAAGTTGCATTGCATCAAGGTAGTGCAAACACATCTACACACAAACAGAATAGGAAAAATGGTATTATAATGATCATAGACCTTAATAACCTTTGTAGCACGAACACTTCAACTAAGATAGCATGTCAGTATCCGACACGTGTCGGATACCGACACTCCTCCATTATTCTTCCATGATCATTTTTTTTATTAACAATATTATATATTTTTAATTCAAAGTTATTATTAAATAACAAATATGTACTTATATTTAAAAGATCTCGATAAGAAAAATTGATAACAATTATAAAACTAAATTTATACTATACCTTTGTTTGAGCCCCATTTTTTTATTAAAATACATTTTTTAACAGTGATTTGATACCATTTCAACCACACATTTTGTAATAAAATAATATTACACGCAAAATCAAAATATTTTCTTATTTTTTGACCACACATTTTCCATTATAACACTATTTCAAAATGCATTTTTTTAGAAAAATAGGCCTCAAACTACTCCTATATAAATGCAGAATTTTAAATAATTTAATCAACTTGTCGAAAATGTGTCGTGTCAGTGCTTTTTTGAAAAATCAAGTGTCGACATGATAGATGCATGTTGTTTCAGACACACGCGTCCATATAGTTGCCTCATAGTTAATAACTAAAACCTCCTTATTCGATATAGTGAAAGTACTTAAGCTTTCCTTCTAGTAAAGCTGGATCAAAATCAAAGAACACTGACTATTATGGGCCCTTTTGCTTCATCAAACCTCAATTTTACCTTATTGTCTGTGTTTTTGCACTTAACATAGTTTTTATTTGCACTTCATGCTTTGAGATATGTTGCACGCACTTTATTAATTGATGCATCGTCTTTTAATTTCCATTTGATCTTCAAAGATAAAGATAGCTGACACGGCAAACTCTTTGATGTTTAACCTCTTTATTATTTTCAGTAAAATGGTTCCTTGTGTGCTGGAGAGTTTTTAAAAAGGATGCAAGACTAATTATATATAGTGGAACAACAGACAAATATAAGAGGACATAGATTCTAGTGGATGAGTGATGCAAAAATTTCTAAATTTAATTTACGTATATCTGTGCAAGTTTCAATTGTCAAGCATTGTCTACCTAGTTCTTGAATATATAGGTAAAAGAGTCCATGTAAGTTAGATGTTGAGTAACTATAAAATTACTTCTTTTTGAACCACATAATCTAGAAGTTTAAGGAGCCCTCATGTGCAGTCTAAAATCATCTTTTATCAAGAGCTTGAAATTGTGCTATTTTCATAAATGGGTGTCGGCAATGACATGGCTTGAATTTAGAATCTCTGTCTAATTTAAGACTATTTTGATCCTCCTCGTCTAAATTTAAGCTATTAAAGAAAGAATTTTTGCTGCAATTTCTAACGTGCCTTTCTACACTTGCATTGGTTTTCATATTACTCTCACATTAGTCACCTCGACTAATCATTTTCTCTGAGAGCTTTTCAATTTGATGTCAGATAAAATGCACCCAAAGAAGTGCACTGTGTTTCCTTTCCACCCATGGGCTTCCAAGGAAGGTACAAAATGTGGTCTTGTAATGTGGATTCCTCACAGCATTGAGGAGCTAATCAAAACAGCATCAGAGCAACTGAAATTTCCACATGGCTCATGTATATTATCAGAAGATGGAGGAAAAATTCTTGAGGTCGATATGATAAGTGATGGCCAAAAGTTATATTTGGTTAATGAAACAAATTAAATGTCACTCCCTTGTATATCATTTAAAACACACGTTGCTTTCTTGAGTTTGGGAATATCGCATTTCGTGTTTCTTGGGGGGGAGAATCACTCGTTGTGGGACTTCGTTTATGAGGTCCACTCTTCCCAAGACTCTAATCCTTTGGTGGGAAAGTTTAGGTGAGAAGTCATTTCCCTCGAACATGATTGTTAATGAATGTCTGTAAAGGTTGAATCTGTAACATTGAAAGAAGGGTGCTCTATGCTCTAGTATCGTTTTGATTAGTATGGTTTCCCTATATTGTACTAATATGTACATATATCTATAATATATTAAATATCAAATCAAGTGAGAATCATTTTTTGAACGATTATAGCTTTAAACAATTCATTTATTTCAATAATACCTTACTTTTCATTTTTCAATATATGTTTAATTTACACTCTAGTAAATAATACAAAATCCTTATTCATGTATATATTTCCTATTATTAATTTTCAATTAATTAACATTCACCTTTATTTAATTAATATTAATCAGAATTTCATATTTACATTCACACTCACATCCATGTCACCGTTATTAATTCTCAATTAATTAATATTTACATTTATTTAATTAAAATTTCATATTCAAAAATGCATTTCATCATTCACATCTATGTATGATAATTAGCGTCCAGATTCATTTAGTTGGAAATTAAATATATTCATTTAGTATGGATAATTTAACATTCAATTTCGTTTATATATTATTTGGTACCAATTCTTAATAAATTAACATTCATGTTAATTGATGTACGTATTTGTCATTCATGTATTTAGATGTAATTCTAATACTTACATTCAAATATTACTTTCACAACACTTATAAAAGATTTCAAAATAACGTGCAACACATGTTTAACTCTATCTATCTGGAACAAATATTACCACATGGCTATAAGAAAGTGGTTTTGAATGCGAGAAACATGCTGACATAAAAAAATGTTTGGCGACTTCACTTTACTGTTGAGTGTCACAACCATGATGGATATAAATCTTTTGCTCCACTCTCAAGTTTTAATCCATTTCCAATTATCCTCGTATAATACTAAGAGTGCATTTGATTGCCCACCTGAAAGTGTGTTTTTTTCACCAAAATTCTTACTTTTGTGCTGTTTGATTACCATTTTTTTCCATGGAAAATATTTTCCCTTTTTGGTTACGTGACCATATTTAAAATCAAGGAAAAAATTTTCTTTAGGAAGAGTAGAATTTTATTTTCCACGGAATTCACTCTCTCTTTCTCTCTCTTATTTATACACTCACTCTCATTAATCCACCAATTAAAAATGGACAAGTATAATATTTTCTAAGTTAAAAATTAAATCAATTAAACACATTTAATTGACAATCTTCATACAAATAAATTCTAGGCAATGAAATTACCTAGAATTTATTTTCTTTTTATGCAAATTCCATATTTGCAATCAAATGCACCCTAAAGTGATTTTTTTTTTATCCCCCCAAAACTGCTACCTGGCGGAAAGTAATTTCTTTATTTTTGTCAAATACTTCATATATAAAATATCCAATATACCAAACATAAATATATCATTTTAATGTGCTCACAGAATTAACTAACTCTTATTCTAGATCTAGCCCTTACATCCTCTCTTTTTTATTTTATTTTTATTATTTTTTAAATCATGGTCCATGTGAATTTATAACAATTAAAAGTTAAAACTAATAATTTTTGGAGTACGAACACACACAATTCAATTTGAACGCGAATGGTTTAAGTTGAGCTTCTTTTGCCGGGGCAGTCTTCTAAATGACCGGGTTATTGATCCTATTTTCCACAATGGCCTCTTCTATTATAAATACTATTTTACCCTTACTTTTATTATTTGCAAGATATATCCTGTATCTTTCGGGACTTATTAATCAGGACTTATATCTATATTTTTCAATCTTTCAAACACTTTTAAATATTCTTTATATCTTGATAATTCTTCAAAGATCTTAATAATTCTTCAAAGATCTTAGGCTGATCTTCCTTAGTTATGTATTCTCGAACTAATCCTTCTGAGACTTCTTCTTGTATACCTCTATGTTTAGTTATAATATCTTCTACCTTTCTTATTTCTCTGCTAGTTCTTACAGAATCAAATCTTATATTGTGCTTACAAAAATAATCTATATCTTGGTAGATTTCTTCAATTTTCTCTTTGCCAACAGGAAATATATCATCAGACTTTTCAGCTAATTTAAATAAAAACGAAAGATCTTTCTCATCTAAGTATAATCTAAGATCATTAGAAGTGGATGTGGATGCTTGTGAATTGTTCATCAAAATAATCAAAGCATAAGCATATAAAAGCGAGTAAATAACTTACAGTAATCAAATAGAAGTAAACAGGCTTTCCCTCCAGTATGCTCTTATAGCTGCTTTGCATGTACTTAATCAATCTTCTGAATCAAGTAAAGATTTAAAATGTTTTTTGAAATCATTTGGGTCCACAACTGCTTCCTCAAAAGGCTTTTCAATTAAGGTTGCATTTCTCATTCTAGAGAACTAACCGTGTTTCCACAGACGCTATCTCACAGTATCCAGAGTCTCTATTTTCACCTCTATCCAAACTCTTTTTAGAATCAAGTTCTTACTTGGAACGAAATTTTAAAAGATAACTCACACACAAGGTGTTATAATTTTGTTAGAAAACTGCCTTTTCCCCTAAACCATTCATCAAAGATGGGTACTTTGGCATGGCTAACATCCATTTAAAATCAATGTTTTGAAAATCTGTTAAAATCTCTATCTGTACTGCTGAGGAATCATGAGAAACTTAACGAAATTCTTTTACGAAAGATTTGTTGAACATAACAAACTTTACTTTGATATTCATAAACTGAAATAGTACATGCTTACAATCTATATTTACATACCTTTGGTACTCACCTTATGAAGTTTAGAACTCCATAAGTGATTACCTTATTACAAGCTTTGCTATCTTCAAGCTATTTAATATTTTTCTGAATACAAGTGGTGTATACAGATTACAAAAAAAAAAATCTCTGTAAGATGTGTTTCTTCAGAGTGTTTAAGAGATAGGTTATTTCCAGATATCTTCCTTCTTCCTTCTTGCCTCCTTTTATAGAAGTCTTTGAGAATCTTATCTTGATAGGTGTTTTCCACTTCCTTTTGTTGGGTAGCTCAATAATGTTATCTTCATCGATTTTTCCATTATCTTCTTGCTAGGTGGACCTCTCATTTTGAAATTTTATGCATTATCTTTGAATTTGTCTCCCACTTTTGACAACTGGTAGGTAAGTGGTCACAATTATGGAGACTTTATTGCATTATCTTCTATCTTTTAGTGGCCACGGTTTTTCTCTAATAAATTTCTTTATTAAAATAGTGATAAATGGCCACTTTTGTTGTTATCACTTTTCCACCTTCGAATCAAAGAATTTTGCTGGGAATTCTTCACTGTTGAGAGATGCTTGGCTCATATCTTCTACTACGCAGTATTCACAATGGTGATCACTGTAGTTCC